TGTCTCACGATTTTATTTCCATTCTTGGGGTCACGATTCGATCCAGAATCTATTTTAGATTCAAAACGATTCTGGATTCATGATTCAAAGTCTATTTTTGAATGAGTACATACTTCATACATACATACTGTAGTATATACTTCACGATCTACTCCAGTCATCTGTTTTTGTGAATTGTGATTGGCTGAATTTCTTGCTGCTCCATTTGCATTCTACTGCGTTAGCCTTAGCGCTTAGCAGGGAGTGACCGATTAGCCAAATAAAAAAGTTGATTTTTTTTTTCCTTACACCCCTTTTACCTCTACAATGCACAGTCACTATTAAATGGCCGTGCTCTTTTCAGAGATGGAAAAAGCGTTCCTCCCACATGACTTCACATTTTTATGTAATGTGATTTTAATGAAAGATTTGGATTCCCGTGTTTAGCAGAATCTGTATTATGCGTAAAACAAAGGACTGAATGCTACTTTTAAACCTGCCTGCCCGTGAGAGAAAAACAAAAAGTACCTTCACATTCAAAGCAGATCTGAAGAAAATAAACACAAATTATTGTGTTTCATGAGTCAGTTCAACTGAGGAAGTCCAGCTGTAGGAGTGATCGTAACTGACCCCGCTGAAATTTCTGGTTACACACAGTTGCAGCGGTAACATGGCGTGGTCTTTTTCTAATGCCGTTTTAATGAAAGATTTTGATGCGGGTCTTTAGCAGAATCAGTAATGTGTTTACAGAGAGCAGCAGTGTGCCAAAGCAAAGGACGGCATGCTACCTTTAAACCTGTCTGCCGGCGAGATAAAAACAAAAAGAGCTTCACGTGGATATTTTAAGGAGAACTGAAATTGAGGAAAAGAAACATAAATGATTATTTTCCATGAGTCAGTTCAACAGAGGACGTCCAGCTGTAGGAGTGATCGTAACTGACCCCACTGGAACTTCAGAGTTCACACAACTGGAAGCATTTACGAAACGTGAATGAAAATCTGAGAAAGGACTTCCAAATAACAAGATAACAAGCTCGTGAGAAATGAAGAGTTTAAGAAATCCTCGGACTTGCTAAGGACAACATTGAGGGGTGTGTGAGAGGGTACAGACAGGACACAGTTCCTGTGGAGGAAACCCTGTGAAACAGAAGCACATCTGCATGTTGCTCCTCTAGTGGGCACTTCCATGTCACAGCTCTCTGGCCCAGGGCCCCGCTGTAAAGCTTCCTCTTAGAATCAAGGACTTTCCGTTGTGGGACATCCTCCCAGCTGACGAGTGCAGGGAGTCACCGAGAGGCTGAGGAGGGCCTGGTATTCACACATCAACTATTGTACTTTTTTTTTTACAGTCCAAACACAGCAGATCAGTCTGCGGTCAAACACAAACTTTTATTAGCAGTTTATCAGACAACTTTTGAATCCACATCAATCACTACAGGTTGCTCTTTAAATGTTTTTAACAGATAAAGCACCTTTACAACACTGCTGATGGTTAGATGTTATTGTATGGCTGTCAGTAACTATTGTATACAAAGAGGATTACAGCGCTTAACAGCCTCAAATCAACTCCAATCATCAAAAACTACTGTCTGAGCTTACAAGTTCCTCCTCCAGTAAGGCGGCCATATCTCCTTCAAAGCTGCAGATCACAAACAAGAAGATTAAGAAGAGGAGAAAAAAAAATGCTGCGCTTTTTTTTGTATGAAGCAAACACAAGAGTCACGGTATCATGAGACAGGATTATCAAAGTCATGTCCAGGAATTAAGAGAACAAGGCCTGTACTGGGCTCCATCCTGAGAGAGTAAATTAACAATAATGATCCTTTATAGCTAATATATACTTTAGCTACGACTTAAAATACAGTGGATATTATGATTGCTTGTCTGAGAGCCGGGGGAAAGACGTTAAACCTGTGATATAAGCTTCATAAAGAATATGATGATTGTCGAAAGTTATAGACATCAATCCCCGTTTGACTACTCCAAATAACAGGAAATGATCAGGCTTAAGGATCTGAACTCAAATTCAGAACAGAAGATGTGATAATCAAAATCACAGTTCAGAATCTTGATCAAAGCTGAGAGATGCCGGATTATTTTTAGTTTCCTTTTCATTTCTGGTGGTCACTTGTAGGACAGCAGCAGCAACCTGAAAGTAACCATCGCTGAAACTTTACAAAGAACTTAGATTGTTGTTATTGTAATAATTAATATTCATTAAAGCCTTGATATTTTAGATGCTAGAATCAGAATAATTATTAAAATTGATAGCTTTAATTGTAGTCATTATTAGTGTGCTGATTGATTCGACTCCACCTAGGATTTGATAGTTGACAGTGTAGGTTTATTAGCCTTGTTTTTTTTTTTATCAAATATGAAGGTAGGTCACACCCTATGTACATAGTCGTGTCATATTTTGATATCTGGATAAGTGTCAGTCTGTTAGCCTCATGCTTTTTATATGATGCTGCTGTAACACGTGGTAATATTTTAAGTTCCTGTTCCGTGTTTTTAGCAAGAAGGACAAACAACCCGGCACATAATCAAGTAAAGATGAAGAATGTCAAAACAATCTTTCTACAGTTGTAGAAGACACAGGGTACATTTTTTCAAACAATGTCCACGAAGGGCTTTAGCTTAGCCCACATGGGCTGAAAGAACTTCATTTAAGCTAGTTCATAAAAAAAAAGTTCCTTCCTGAATCTTTCACTGAATTTGCTGACCAAGTCATTTTCCTGGAAGAATATGATCCGAGTTCCTTATTCCTCTTCATATTGTCATCAGTTAGACACTTCATATTTGATGGACACACACAGAAGCAACATCCAAAAAGGGCCACATAGTAAAGCTACAGTCATATATGGCATGAAATACAAGACGCACTCCTGCTGAAACTCTATACTGTGCATCAGTTTACACCAACATAGCAAGGCATCAATATCAAGTGTGAGACACAGTGAATACCAGAGTTCAACACGGGGCTGCTCTGTGGAAACTACCCTGGTTACTCATTGTTGCCGCAATAACCAATGTATGTAATCTTCTAACTATAAAAGATACAGCAGGTTAATAAAACATACCTAAAAAGAAAGCTTGATTCCAACGTCAGGAAGCTCAACACTGTTAACTTGAAGTGTACATTAAGTATTGAAAAAAGAATTTGTGTAGCATATTCAGTTTTATCAAAAACAACTGCCCTGATAGCAATTTTAGACAAACTATACAATCTTCATGAGATATGATTTGAAGTTGGCAAGGGGCTAATTTTCACATTAAATTGCACAAATATGTTCAATATTTGTGAAATGTTGACAGTGGGCAGGAGCTTGCATTTGTAGTCAAAACGAGAAGTTACCCAATATTTGGTGACCTGGACTTGTATTTTTGTTGCTGTGGTTACAATACCGATATCAATATTTGATTTTTACTCGTATCTCATTGAGGTTTAAATCTGGTATCTTCTTGACAACTATAATACGAGCAAGACTGATTCTACAGAGATGAGAAAATACACTTTCTCTTTGATGTGTGAAAGCTTGAGCAGTTTGAATCTCTCCTTCCATCATGCCTGGTGTCAACAGTACAGCTTTGCTGTAGATAGTCTCACACAGTGCTGTGAGTTTCCTCAACACCCATGAGTCACCTAAATAGCTCTACTGCTTCATTTAAACAACAAGGCATACTGTATGTAAACACTGCTGCAAACCAGGCGAACCCCTTCACATCTAGTGTGCAGAAACCTTCAAATCAGAAAGCATCTGCTGTTTAAACTTTTTTATAAGGACTGACATTAATTTCACTTTCACTATTTTTTGAATACAAGTTTTGTATCTAATTCAGAAATTTGGATAATGCACTTTGGTATCACAGTATAGTACTTTGCTCATAACATGATGATATTTTCTTTATTTGTGCAGAGTAACATGTTGGCACAACTTCACTCACTTCCCACTGAGTTCATGTAGAAGGTGGAAAGTCTAAAAAAAGAAAGTCCAGAGAAACGCTTGAAATATAAAGAACAACGTCTCCTACGCAAGTGCTGCCGTAGTTCTGACCTCAATACCAAATAGTTTGGAATCGTAAATGTGCCACTAAAACTGCTGACACAATCTCGTAAACCTGGACTACGATCACTGTGCAAGCCTGGCAGTAACACCTTGCTGGATCTGTGCCTTGAAGGATTTCCACTGCCCTGTAGACAAAATAAATGACGTGACTAAATACATGCAACTAGCAACTGTATACAGTACTCTGTGTTTTTCAGAGTAGAAAAACAAGTCGTGTGGTGGTCTAAAACACTAAGATACTGTAATACTAGAGCTGGAATGTGCCTGAAGCCTATGTGTCGACACTACAGCACTGCTAATACTGTACTGATAATTGCATATAAAAAAGGAGTTGCAGTTTCAAAAGTTTCCTTATTGTTAGACTAAGTTTTCCAATAAAACTATTTGGAAACTGTGCAATGTTTCATATAAGACTGACGTTAAACTATCAGAAATTTAAAAAAAACAAGGCTAAGGGATTATTTTTCCAAAAGCATGTGAGTACGTAAGCAGTCCATGTTTTAATGACTGTGTGTTGAAATATGGCTGAAAGCAGCACTGACCACCTTGAGGCAGCCCATCCCTCAAGAGTAGAGTTCAAAGAGCTAACAATCTAATAAGTTTAACCCAGCTGAGGTGTGTTTGACTGGGAACAAACAGAGCAACATACTTATTAACAAACATCTCAGAGACTTAAGACCATGGAAAAAAAACAAAAAAACATGCATACCTGTCCTCATATGGAGCCATATTAATTAAAGCAATAATCAGATCACAATGACAACGCATTGATTTGTTTTATAAAGACAGCCTCCTATATTACCTAATAGGTGGTTCCCCCACTTATAACTTAAAAGCAGATAGACCAACCAATCAGAGGAAAAGGTCGAACAGATCAAGACCCCTTTCCCCAAACAAGTGCACGATAGTCTGAGTCAACACAGACTTGTATTGTATTAAGATGCATTAACTTACGCTTTGTTGCATTGATGAGGTTCTTCCCATCTTTGTACAGTTCTTTAATAAATCTGTTGGTCTTGTCGAGCTCTGCTTCGTGTGCTTTAATCTTCTCCCTGAAGCTGGGGCTGTCTAGATAGCATTCACTGAACTCCAGCGGGTGTAGTCCCATCTCTGTGACAGATTGATGGCTTCGTTTTGTTTTTTTTTTAAACTGAGAAACAAAAAACGCTGCTTTACTTTGTAGCTGATAAAGTAGCAGCTGAAATCAAATGTCCGGCTCTTCTCGCAGGTAGTTTCCAGTCTAACGGGACAGCATAGCTACCTCAGGCTAGCGGTGGTTAGCATGGTAACTTCTGACACTCGGTCGCCTGGTTGTTTCCACAGTTGTCAAATAACCACAAGAGAAAGCTAACACGTAAACACGGTCTAAAGGTGAAAACAATTCGCCAGCGGGTGAAGTACTCAATTGGAAGTCGGTTCGCAAGACTTGTCAGAAAGTCATGTTTGCTGGGTCCGCCTTTTCCTTCCTTCATCAGACAGTACTCCACCTAAGCTGAGTGACAGATAGAGAAACTCTGCTGACATCTGTGTGCGAACAGCGAACTTCTGCCAAAGACTACTTTGCTCCTGCGAGATGGTTACTTCTTATCTACTTCCGTCTTCGGTTTGACGCGAAGAATGCCCTGTTGGATAGGCCGGATCTTTGTAATATAGCAATAAGTAAGGTGTTTTTACCTGCTTTTTGTAATATAGCAATAAGTAAGGTGTTTTACCTGCTTTTTGTAACATAGCAATAAGTAAGGTCTTTTTACCTGCTTTTTGTAATATAGCAATAAGTAAGGTCTTTTACCTGCTTTTCGTAACATAGCAATAAGTAATGTATTTTACCTGCTTTTTGTAACATAGCAATAAGTAATGTATTTTACCTGCTTTTTGTAACATAACAATAAGTAATGTCTTTTTACCTGCTTTTTGTAACATAGCAATAAGTAAGGTGTTTTACCTGCTTTTTGTAACATAACAATAAGTAATGTCTTTTTACCTGTTTTTTATAACATAACAATAAGTAAGGTCTTTTTACCTGCTTTTTGTAATGTTAACAGACAAAGAGTAAGGTATTTTACCTGTTCTTTTGAAATGTTAACAGACAAAGAGTAAGGTATTTTACCTGTTCTTTTGTAATGTTAACAGACAAAGAGTAAGGTATTTTACCTGCTTTTTGTAAAGTGTCTCGAGATAACACTTGTCATTAGTTGACGCTATACAAATAAAAATTGATTGATTGATTGATTTCAGTTCAAAATGTTTACCACACTAAAAAAACAAAAACTTTACAATGAGCTGGCATTGATTTATAGAAATTATATCATATCGATGTAGGCCTACTCTAGTATTTTTTATTTTTTTAATGTTCTTTCTAAAGTGTGAGTAGCCTATATGTGCTTGTGTTTTCTATATTTCCTGTTTTCACCCGGCAGTAAAACACATTTTCCCCTTGGGGACAATAAAGTTGATTTAAAGTTTATATTTTTCATCAGTGATATATACACGCGTACCGGCATAGGCTAGCCTATATTGCATTTTTCCAGTGATGCAATTTCAGTAACAAACAAATAATTATAAAAAATGACTTCATGAAGGTATAATACTTCCCTCTTAAATGTTAAAAAGTAGTTACAATGTAAAGAAGAAATAAAACTAATTTAGTGATTTACCTCAACATTTTACTGCATTATCTTTATTGAGTAAATGTACTAACATTATGTTCACAGCTTTGGACATTTAAATGAAAGTTGATTTAAGCCTTTATTAATCTTTGTTACATCACATTTTATATAAATACTATATATATATATATATATATATATATATATATATATATATATATATATATATATGTGTGTGTGGCCTCAGCAAGTTTATTAACGTGTTTTTCAGCTTTTGGCCTTTATCAGAGTCATTAAGGCCACAAGCTGAAAAACGTCGGTCTAATAAAGTTATTGAAGTTGATCTTCATACTACAAGTGTAGCTGGAGCTTTTGACCTCTCCAAGCCTTTCAAGCACCTTGGTAGATGGTGAAGTTGATCTAGAAAACTCTGCTCTGCCTTAGGAAATTTAAACTGACTATATTTCAGTGTAAATTCAGATGCTACATTAAAACACATACAATGAAACACATCAATGTCACTGCTAAAGAATGAAGACCAAGATTGTGTTTCTGCTAAGCTGCCATTAGCCTATACACTAAACACACACAATTGGATTAATTGGTAGTTGGTGATGTCTGGAAACAAAGGGCAAGACATACAGTACATGTTTATTTAAGTATAAACAACATATGCATGACAAGTGAAGTTAATATTCATAATTCGACTATATGATAGGCCTACCACATGTTGGATCTGAACAGTGGTGGAAGAAAATGATAATTACATTACTTTAAAGCAAATTAACTGCAAAGAGTCATGACTACTTAGGACCACATTCTGCTTTTCCAATTCCACAACATAAAAACGTATCTCCAGATTATAAAACCTTACACAAAAGCACTTCTTGGATTGATAGCAAGATAAATGATATCAGTAAATACTGCCCAAATAGATTTTTAGTGACTTAAACTGGAGCAAACCCAATCACACAGGTGACCTAAAGTGCTGCACTAGTCTATTCCAATGTTATGGGTGTATACTCAAGCTGTTTCTGAACGCTCCTCAATCAGATAAACACAAACAACTGTTTATAGCTGCAAAGGTGGAGAGCTTCTTTCAGTCAACTCGTGTTCACCCAGAGCAGTGAAGTGGTCACGGTAGGGAACTATCTTGTTGTTTGTTGCTCTTTGGTTGCGCTTCAAGATGTATTGCTTTCACTGAAAATAAAACAAACAACTACAGAAGCATACTTTAAGAATAATTACTTTAATTATTACTCACACAGTTTTTAACAGTTAATACCTCTTGCTCTTGCCTTAAAATATGATTACATTTCAACACAGTTTTTGAACGTGGAACCTTTTTCAGGTTTGTTGTTTCTTACCCGGGTTTCTTTGCACGCGGACGTGTTTCTTCAACAGTGATGCTGTGCGATATAGCAGATGTGTGATTTACACGTTTTTCCACTCAGCCGCTGTATCACGAATGCAACACCGGTGATTACTGATAGATTTGACATTTGGGTAAGCTCGGTCTGATTGTCAGACGGGTTTTTATGTCATCTGAACTGAGGTGAAGATACAGCCAGCGGGAGGGAGAGGTGGGGGGGGGTGTTTACTCACAACGATGCTAAAACGACTATTTTTTATTTTTCTCCTTTAAGAAAAAAAAAAAAAAAAAAAGTTAACTTTAATGCAAACGTTTGCAAAAATCAGCATCGCCACTTTAACCGAACAGCAGTGATCTCCTCCGTCCTCTTTGACTCTAAACATACAGTAAGTCAACTCAAATTGGCACTAATGCCTTACGAGGACTTAGCATTTTTCGGTATTTATTTTAAAATTAAGTTATTCTTAAATTACCTTGATGATTATAACCATTAGTATTTAAAGCACCTCGACGTCTCTTGCGTCTGTTCCATGATACAATGACTTCTTTTGAAGTTGATGGTCAAAACCTGCGATCACAGTGTACAATGCTGGTCTCTTCCTTGCAGAAATGTCTTGTCCTGCACATTGATTTTTGCAACCTCTTCAAAATCCAATTGTAAGACGTGGTTATTTCCCTAACATGCACCTGTTTTTAGGGATGCCTAACGCCAATGCACGACCAAAGCATGGAAGGAGGCCCCGAAGGCGACGCCGAGAGGACCCTGCCAGGAACGAGCTGGTCTCCAGTTCCCTGGAAAGTGCCCAGCAGTGCCTGTTCAACCAAGATTATGGAACCGCGTTTGTGCACTACCTTCTTGTCCTCAACCTTGCACCTGCATTTAAGGACTTCGCTAAGGTAATGATGACTATTAACGCCACTCTTACAACGTGACAAAAAACTGTGGAGACAAAACCAACAACAGATGTATTTTTTTTTTCACTGCTGCAGAATCAAGAGATGTGTTTTGTTTTTTTGTTTTTTCCCCATATCCCACTTTTTTAGGAGTCTTTCAGGTTCACTCTCTTTAAATGGACAGAAGAGCTGGACTCTGTGGGACGCATTCAGGACCTCTTTGACTGCTATGAACAAGCGCTGGAACTGTTTCCTGCTGATGAGGTTATCCTAAATAGCATGGGGGAACACCTCTTCAGGTATAACTACTTCACTCCTGTCATAACAGGCTAAGACACAGTCACACGAGTGGTTTTTTTTTTTTTTTTTAGATACACTGTTGTTCTCCTTTCGTCTCATCCAGGATGGGCTTCAGGGACGAAGCGGCAGGTCATTTCCATAAAGCATTGAAGCTGAGACCTGACTTCCCGGAGGCCAGGGAGAATTTCCACCGTGTGGCCAACTGGCTGGTGGAGCGCTGGCATTTTTTAATGCTCAATGACCATGGGAGGAACCAGAAGTACCAGCAAGCCATTCAGAAAGCTGTTCAGAGCGGCTGCAACACTGTACTTGACATAGGTACTGGCACTGGGATCCTTGGGTGAGATATTTTAAATGAGAACTTGGAAGCTTCCTTTTTTTTTTTTTTTTGAGTAATAGAGTGAACCATATTTTCAGGATATAACTCAATCTTATCAACCCAAACTAGAACTTATTGGTGCAATATCTAAGTTTGTTTTTGTGTTGGCTTCTGCTTCAATATGACCTGTAGTTTTTTTGTGTTTTTCCATTTTCTCTCGATGTAAAGTATGTGTGCTAAGAAGGCTGGGGCGGCTGAGGTGTACGCCTGTGAACTGTCAAAGACCATGTATGAACTGGCCTGTGAGGTGTTGACAGCTAATGGAATGGATGGAAGCATCAAAATCATCCATATGAAATCTCTAGAGATGGAAGTACCAAAGGACATCCCACAGAGGTAGAATTCCTACTAAAACTTCTTAACATTCATCTAACAATGACTTTTTAAAAAAAATGCATACATATATTCATGATTTTCAACTCCATGTCTTTTGTCTCAGGGTGTCCCTGGTGGTGACAGAGACGGTGGATGCAGGATTGTTTGGGGAGGGAATTATTGAGAGTCTTATTCATGCCTGGCATCACCTCCTGCTACCTCCACAGGTAACGTGGATTATTAAACACAAACACAAGCCAAAAAAAAACAGAACTATGTTCTCTCTCCAGTTGTCACATTGCAATATTAATTTATCATAAAATGTCTTGGCACCCAAAATCTGTTGATGCTTACAGGATGGAAAACCTGTTCAGAGTTGTTGTCGCAAAAGTGTTCACAGACATGGAGTTGTAAATAACGAGGCCGGAACTGTGTCATCATTCAGGTCGAGGATGTGGGAGCACCCAGGCAATGAAAGCTATGGATAAATACTTGTTAGCTTTTATTTAGCGTGCACTTCAAAATCCACCAAGTGCAGAAAGTGAACGTTCAGGTATAACATGAAAATAAATATCAACAAAGTGAAGGGAAAAGCAATACGATTTTTAAAGAAATGAAATACAGGAACAACAAAATTGAACCCCAAACTCAAGAAAAGA